GCCTATTTTTTAAAATCGACCTCTTTTTGACTTGTTGGTCAAAGAGAGGTATATTTTACTAAATAATTAGCAAAATGGTCTATTTTGCTAATTATTTAGCAAAATTGGTCTTTTTAAAAAAATTCCCATCTTCTAAAACATTATTATCACTTAAAAAACAAATCCCTACTGTTTTCTGCAAAGACTACTAGGCCCTCAGATCTTTTCTTTAGTGAAGGGGGATTTGTCCAGATTGACTCTCCCACTTTCCTCCTCTCAGAAAGCAGATAAAAGAGGCAACTAACAAAACAGACACAACTAATCTAAGAACAATTAATAAACAACTCCATAATCATTGAAAAAGAAATCATACTTCAAATCTTCATCATATCGCTTCCAATCACGACCACTGTTATCTTGGATATCATGATCTAAATTTCCTAGTTTATTTATAACAAGCATCTTTAACTACCAATTAAGATATATATAGGAATCTTAAGGAGTCTGATTCCTCTTCTCTATTTCAAACACATACTGAAAATATAATAGGCTACATCATCAGAAGACTCAGAAGCCATAACTAGATTAGTATATTGCTTAGGTGGTTCACCGAAGCATAGGACCGACACATTATTATTGAGCCAGGTAAATGATTAACGGCTGTCATTAGTATCATTAGTGTCAATAATCACTGACCATTGATTTCTCATTGTATAAGCGTATATCTAGTGACCACGACCACCACAAGTAGCTGAGATGTGATAGTTTGTGAAGGACATTAGATAATTAAGACTTCTAGAGTCAATGACAGAGGTTTTTGACCAAATAACTTCAGTGGGTTTGTGCCTTGGATTTTGAAAAGTAAGTATTTGAACTGAAACCTAAATTATCTAACGCTCTGGCTTTTTCTTTTTCTTTTTCTTAGAATCTGATTTAAACGTGAGTCTAATAATATTTGAATCTGAGTTGTTATGATACAATACATTTTTTACTATGCTAAAATTTCAAAGTCAGCATGATCTAGTGAGAGTTACAAATTTATGATCTAACAAGTTGGTGAATGACAAACTTGTCTCAAAAGATCAAGTATCCAAATGATAAGGGCATATAAAGGCAATAAGGGCATGTTTGGTTCGCAGACCACCCGTGAAACCCATTTTTTTGCTTTGGCAATGGCAAGTTGGAAAAAAAATTCCCCCAATTTTATTTCTGCCAGTTTGATTAGGTTAGGTGTAGGGAAAGTTTTGCAAAAAAACCCATGCCACGTGGATTTTTTTTCCCAACCATTCGCTGGCCGCTAATTGTTCAAAAAGGTCGAAATTAATATACGTCATATTTGATTCATACTCGGCCAATTCATCCCATCAGATGAGTTTTGGAAAACTCAGATGCTCATCTCCTTAGGATCTTCACCCCTAAAATCCCTGCTTTCCCTCTCCAATCTCCCGCCTCCCTCTTCAACTCCCGTCTCCCTGTTTTCTCTTTCTCTCTTCACTCTCTTGCCTCCCTACTTCCTCTGATGCTGATTGAAACCCTAGATCTGAATTGAAAAAAACCAACAAGATATTTGAAACAACTTAGTTGATATGAAGGTACATGTTTCGAGTCTTTTATATTACAATTGACATAAATTATAATAAAAGGATTACAATGAACAAAGAAAAAGTTTATATTTCCTAGGGTTCTTTTCTACGTGCCGATGGAGCGCTGATCTTGTACTCCGTTAAGAGTCTGATTAAGACAACAGGTCTTTCATTGATTGATAATCTCTAATCTCTCGAAATATAGCACTGTCTTCTCTAAATGAAGAGATATTAATAGATATTTTCTCACAAGAACTACTGATTAAGGTAGATGAGTAACTGAAGAGAATGAATCTTTTCTCATAAAGATCGTTGATTAAGCTAGATGACTACCTGAACAGAGCGAATCATTTCTCATAAGGATCGTTGATCGGGCCAGATGATTAGCTGATGATAATGATCTATGAAAATCAATAAAAATGGAGAAGAGATGGGCTTTTTGTCAATGTATCCTCTCTCTCTCTCTCTCTCTCTCTCTCTCTCTCTCTCTCTCTCTCTATCATGTCTCTCTCTCTCTCTCTCTCTCTCTCTCTCTCTCTCTCTCTCTCTCTCTCAATGGTAAAGAGTCCAATCAAGATAATGTTAGCCTCAAGACATTTCCTCCGCCCCTGTGCCCCTGTGTGCCCCATGTTGATCAAGCCTATTTATAGGCATCATAGTATTAAGTGACTGAATTAGTGGACGTTCACCTCTTAAGCTTCACTTTTACTCAGCCTTGAGAGCAAGCTTCATTATGACTTGGGTGAGCTTCGCTACAACTTTGGCAAGCTCCGCTATGGGCATGTGCTTTGACAACTTCGATGTGGGCGTCACCTCTTAAGCATGTATTAGGCTCAAGTATCAGACTTGTGCCGAGTGTCGATTCAGGCCTCTCATGACTTGAAAGATTAATTGTTTGCCTACAATCCTTGCAATATGGATGACTTGGCCCACGTAGGTCTTTTAGGCGAAGTTCACATAAGACTTTGGGCGAAGTTTGCATAAGACTTTGAGCGAACTTCACCCAAACTCTTGAACTTAGCCCAGAGTCCATTTTGAGAATGCTTTTCAACTTGGACCATAGTACGACTTGAAGACGCCTTTCCACTCGACCCAATGTCTAACTTGAGGATTAACTCAGAATTAGGTCTTCTTTGACTCTGATGAGCTAGGCTAGAGTTTAGCATGTAGTCATGTTCGTATGTGACCCAAGCAAACTTCACTGTAGCTTATATTTGAGCCTATCTGAAGTGTTTAATCCATGAGCATTCATTTCTTGGACTCAGACTAAGCATTGGTCCAAGAGAGAGTATATTTTAACCGTCTACAGTACAGTTCTAAAAATGCGATCTTTTTTATTTATTTGATTTTTAGTGTTTTCTTTTGTTGATTTTCTTCTTCCTTCACTTTATTAGGTTAAATTTTGTGTAACTTTGGGTGATTTATCCGTTGGTTCCCATTACGATTTGCGAAAATTGCTCTATAGATCTTGGTGATTCTTTGTGGTGATTCTCTATTTTTCACACTGCTAAGGAAATTAATTTGTTTATTCAGTGTTTATTCCGTAGTGATTCTCTATTTTCCACACCGTGAAACTAATTAATCTATTTATTCAGCGTTTATTCTGCAGTGATTCTCTGTAGATTTTGGTGATTCTCATTACGATTGTTTTTCACACTGTTTATTTAGTGATTTTTTTCAGAATTCAGGTTATATTCTGGATGATTTTTGGTGATTAATCTGTAGTGGGTTTTTTTAGTGATTTTTGGTATCAATATTATTACTTTTGCAACCTTCTGTTGCTCATGAATGTTTAATTTATGCTTGCAGGAAATTATATTGTCCCTACTTATATAGCATGGGTATTCTGGCATTCTATTTGAGCAACCTACAATGTCATTACATTGTACTCGATGACTCGAATGTTAAACCTGGGTTTTCTCATTTGATGGATTTTAATATGAGTAGTATCTATGTTGGTTGATATCATTTTTCAATGGTGGCATATAATCTGTTGTTATCTGAGCAACCTACAATGTCATTACATTGTACTAGATGGCTTGAATTACTGGATTTTTTTTTCATTTGATGGATTTTAACATGATTGGGCAATGATATGTGTCAAAATAACTAAGATTAGCAACCTACAATGCTATGTCATTGCATTGGATGGCTATCAATGATGATTTTGACCAATAATTGAGCTCTTATACATTCCCTACATATCTCAAATGTTCTAAGAGAATTGGATTTTCTTCTATCATGGTTGTACATAATATCAACTTCAATCTTGATTTGGTAAATGAGCATTAAGGGACTGCTATATTTTATGAAATCCAATACATATTTTATTTGTTTCAAATCCAATGCATTTTTCATATTCCAATATCAGTTTGAAGTACATACAAGAATATTCATTACAAATTGCATCAAACATAGTATTACTAAGGAAAATACATACATATTTTCAATTTTGACATTCATGATTTGTAGCCTTCAAATTAGCATTCACCTTTATAACTTTCTTCACATTCTTATCTTCATTGGAGCTATTAGCCTCATTTGAAAATTTGGAGATCTTTTTAGCAACATCTTCCACTGCCCAAGCAAAGAATTTATGTTGCCTATTTGGGAATGAGGCACAACCCCAAAATGTCCTACCTCTATTTTTACCCTGTTTGCATATCTTCAGTGGGGTAGGTTGCTGGCAGTAGCACCATAATTCACCTACTTCTGATACTTAACTCGTTACCATTATGATGGTTAGTTGCTAATATTTTGGATTGGATAATATGATATTTTTTTGGTTTGTTGGGGTACTTGATTCACACGTTTATATTTGCTACTTCCCTACTAGCCGTTGTATTTACGCGTCGGAGTTTATCACCCCCAAAATGCCTGTTGGAGTTCAAATTTGTTTACTTGCCCGTTGGAGGTCATATTTTCTAAAGGTGCATTGTGATGTATATTCGGTGTTATAAATACGTTCGGATAGATTCTGTGACCAAATATGGCTTTATAGCAAGTATTTTTCTCACATTTTTATACCGTGTTCATGTACTCTATATCAAGTTCATATAAGCTGTTGGCTTCATTTCGCCCGTTGGAGAATACATGTATTCTTACCTCTATAGGAGGCTAATTAATGGATATAGCTATATTTATTTTTTTGGTTTGTTAATCCATATTTTTCATGGTTGTATTATACCAACCAAACTAAGGAAATCGTGGAAAGTAAGTTGAAAACTAAGTTGTGGAAATCATGAAAACCCCATTTATTGTGCCCGTTTTCATTACAAAACAAACTCAGTAAACTCATTTCATAGAAAACCAAATAAATCGCTAGAAACAGGTTTTGAGTTTTCCTACGTTTCAGTTTTTGACAAGGCCCTAAGAGACGAGCAAAATGAGTAGGAAAAAAAAGCAACAGAGATGACGAGGGCAAAAAACATCAAGGCCCTGACGGTGCTGAGTCATTACCAGAGATGACGGAGCAATCCACAGAAGCGAGCAAGGATATTATAATAGGAAAAAAAAATCTAGCACAAAAAGCATTGATTGGATGTGCATAAAAGAGCATATATTTTTTTTGGATTATTCTCTCAGATTCTTGACAGAGAGAGAGAGAGGGGGAGAGAGGGGAGGAGAGACGAATCAATGGAAGTTTCTTGCTGGCTTCTATCCAACATCAAGTAGTAGTTATTTAAGCAGACAAAAAGGGGGAGAGAATTTAGGGATGAAGGGTCAGAAATTCAACAGGGGGATTTGAATTATTCTCTACCTTTTCCTATCATTTTCTTTGCCCCGGCCCATGATCTCCTTGTTCTCTCTAGTTTCTTCCTTTCTTCTCTCTCTCTCTCTCTCTAAACTTTGACTGATGGAAGAATCAAAGGAGAAGAATGAGGCGAGCGCAAGCAAAAGGAAGTACTTCAAGAGAATATGTGTCTTTTGTGGGAGCAGGCCAGGGAACAAGCCTTCATTCAGTCATGCAACTCTTGAGCTTGGAAAGCTACTGGTGAGAGTTTTATCATGTAGTAACACCATTAATCTCAACTCCTCTTGCTTAAGCACATCCTAATGATTACGCTTTTCTTCTAACATCAATTTTTTTTTTTTTTTGCACATGCACTAAAAGGATATAGTCAATGTGGCAAATTGATTCAGAACCTGCATCTTCTATCTTTCCTCTTTCCTCCACTTCCTTACTCCTAATCAAAAACAAAAGACACTACAACATAAAGTGATATCTTTAGCTCGGCTAATAATAGCATTATTGTATAATAACTAGGTCCTAGGAGTTTAATTAAAGATTATTTCAAGACTGTTCCTCTTACTTTTTTGTTGACATTTCAGGTTGAGAGGAAAGTAGACCTTGTCTACGGAGGTGGGAGTGTAGGCCTGATGGGGTTGATATCTCAAACTGTTCTTGATGGTGGATGTCATGTTCTTGGGTATAGCAATTTACTCTATTTGTAAATTTAATTGAAAATTCTTTGTATGGGACACAATGTGATGCTCCTTTTGTTTTTGCGTCAGGGTCATTCCCAAAGCTCTAATGAGGCATGAGGTATAAAGAAGTTGCATTTTACTCCCTCATACTTCGTATTGGGATGTGTTTGGCAGGAAATACTTAGGGTCTGATAAGATTCAACTATATTCAAACTCCAAATATCAGAGCCACTAAAAAAGCAAATTAAGCATCTTAAAATATGTTAATTAGTTATCGTTACGCTCATAATTAATATTCCAAAAACAAGTAAAGCTGGCCTGTAAACTTATGTTTGCTGAGGGCTCTGTCACCAACTTTTTATCCCTTGAACTTGAGATAAGATTGAAAGTGTGTGACATTGCAATTATACATGCAAGCCTTAGTGTTTTACAGGCCAAGACTTGTCATTTTATAATACTGCTTCAACTTTAGAAACCATGCTCCAAAATGTTGTGCAGATTTCAGGAAATAGCATAGGAGAAGTGAAAATAGTTGCTGACATGCATGAGAGGAAGTCAGAAATGGCAAAAAATGCTGATGCTTTCATTGCACTTCCAGGTGAGTTCCCACAACCCCAACCCCTACACTAAACAAAAGAAAGATTCTAGCAAACTTTCAACACTTGGAAATATTTCTAAGTTGCAAAATCTTTAGGTGGGTATGGAACAATGGAGGAGCTGTTGGAGATGATAACATGGTCTCAGCTTGGTATACATGAGAAACCTGTGAGTTGGTGCATTTTACCTACCTCAGATTTTCTTTTTCTTATTCTTTTTCTTTTTTCCTTTTCATATTTCGTAGCTTTCTTTTTTTTTTTACTTTTTTTTTCTTGTTTAACAATAAAACTGAAAAATATTACACATGTGATGATGACAAGCGAGCAACAAGCTGCGCCGCTAATTTTTTTTCTTATTCTTTTATTTTTTGTTACATGAAACTCACTAGCTCTCTAGTTTTCTTTTTCAGATAGACCCTTTGAGGGAAATTTCCCTCAACTTTTCCTTTTCTCTAGAGATTGAAGAGTCAAAAACATTCACTTACGGGTCGACTATCTGCAAAAAATAAAACTAGAGGAGTAACAAGTTGAAAGTAACAATAGTACAAGGGGTCTATCTGCAAACTTTTCGGCTTTGAATTTATTATTATTTTTTTTTTTTTTTTGAGAAGGTGGGGTTATTGAATGTGGATGGATACTACAACAATCTACTCGCATTATTTGACAAAGCTTTGGAGGACGGCTTCATTGAGGACTCAGCAAGGCACATTGTGGTCTCAGCAGAGACTGCAGAGGAATTGCTCATGAAATTGGAGGTAAATGAAGGAGATAAAGATGAACGGAAAGGAAGCAATAAAAGGAAAAGAGAAAGCTAGCTATTTTGAATAGGTTGGTTCTATACAGTATTCTCTTCTCTTTTTATTTTGACTAATTGTAGAGTTTTTGGAATAAAATTGAAAAAGGGTTAATTTTAGAAAATCCCTCTGAATTTACCCTATTTCTTTAATATCCCACACAACCCCCATGAACTTTCAAGTTTCTCACAAAATCCCTTGAATTTTGAACTTCTCTCACAAGATCCTGCTACCTCTAACTTGCATAACTAAAATGTTATTGAGAACTTTTTCCCCCCAAATTGAGGCATTTGTCATTTACTGACATTATTATTTTTTTTTTTTTTTTGAGAAGGTGGGGTTATTGAATGTGGATGGATACTACAACAATCTACTCGCATTATTTGACAAAGCTTTGGAGGACGGCTTCATTGAGGACTCAGCAAGGCACATTGTGGTCTCAGCAGAGACTGCAGAGGAATTGCTCATGAAATTGGAGGTAAATGAAGGAGATAAAGATGAACGGAAAGGAAGCAATAAAAGGAAAAGAGAAAGCTAGCTATTTTGAATAGGTTGGTTCTATACAGTATTCTCTTCTCTTTTTATTTTGACTAATTGTAGAGTTTTTGGAATAAAATTGAAAAAGGGTTAATTTTAGAAAATCCCTCTGAATTTACCCTATTTCTTTAATATCCCACACAACCCCCATGAACTTTCAAGTTTCTCACAAAATCCCTTGAATTTTGAACTTCTCTCACAAGATCCTGCTACCTCTAACTTGCATAACTAAAATGTTATTGAGAACTTTTTCCCCCCAAATTGAGGCATTTGTCATTTACTGACAAAGTAAACCCTCCTATCAAATGAGAGCTTTTTCTCCTAGGGGAATTTTTGGTATTTTCAAAAATAGATAGGGGTCTCCAAGAAAAGTTCAAGGGGTTATGTTAGATAAAAAACCTTAAATCGTTATGTGCAAAATCATCCATTCCCTACCATCCTCTCCCATACAAGCTGTGGCATAAGATAAGGTTACGTAGGATTCCCACTATTATCTTAAGAATCATTAGTATCTTAAAACCATTATTGTGAAAATCACTGTTATGGCAGTAAATATCCAGTGCGGTCTTATCTTGTCACTTGAGTTTGGAGTGGTCGGTGAAGATTGGGTAAGTAGACTTTCTCCAATTACCACTAGGTTGAAGATGTTGCGCGCCTATGCGGAAGCATGCTCGCACACCTAACGAATCTGTGATCACGGAGAAGAGAACCAACCACACACGAGCACAATTCAATCCAAAAATCAAACTAAACACAGAGATATATGTGGTTCGACAATTTGCCTACGTCCACGGGGAGAGGATGAGGAGATTCTACTAAATCAAGGAGAGTACGAAGGGTTACAATCTCACAAAAGCTCACAAATTAACCCTAAACCAAATCTCTCAACTTGCTCACAATTTCTCCCTCTCAATATGCTCAGTACAATCTCTAATATCTGACCAGAAAACCTAGAAAATCATGTTTCAATTTATATCAAAACACAAACCCAATGCGAACAGGAAACCAATACTCAGGCCCAGCATAACTCACGGTCGACCGCAGAGCCATGTGCGGTCGACCGGACAGAACGACAGAAAGCATAAATCCACTACAGGGTCTCACGGTCGACCGGCGCACCACTCACAGTCGACCGTGAAAAGTCCAAAGAATTTTCCAGATCTTGTGCACGTTTGCGGTCGACCGCCGCGCCACTCGTGGTCGACCGTTGGAAATCCAAGTAGTTTTTCTGTATTTTTTCCTATAAGCTCTTCAATTCTCCACCTCGCTGAAGTTTTCCCAAAATTGAGCCGACACCAAACGAAGAGCACCAATGCGTCGTCTCTCCAAACTCGGTTGTACCAATATAGTTGCCTACATACCCCCTCTCCCAAGGGATCAAGGCGCCCGCAGTACGGGTCAAAGTGAACACATACCCCGTAGTAGACCGACGCTTATCCAAATCCCCAGCATAATCCGAATCAACATAGTCAATGCACAACTACCCACCTTAGTGTCCCGCTCATAAACCAAACTAATATTGAACGTACCTCGAATGTACCTTAAAATCCATCTCACGACGTCCAAATGACCCACTCCTGGATCGTGCATGTATCTCGAAACCATACTCACCGCATGTGACAAATCTGGCCTCGTACATACCATCACGTATATCAAGCTTCCAACCGTGCTCGCATATGGAGACTTTAACATTAACTCTTTATCTTCAACTGTCTTCGGTGAAAGTTCAGCTGAAAGTTTCAAATGGGCTCCCAAAGGTACACTAACTGGCTTCGTATCCATGGTAACATGAAATCGCTGTAGAACCTTCTTCAAATAAGCCACCTGTGTCAAACAAATTTTGCCATTCTCTTTGTCTCTGTCGATCTCCATCCTTAAAATGCGCTTAGCTTCACCTAAATCTTTCATCTCAAACTCCTTTGAAAGATGTGCCTTCAACTCATCTATAGAAGACCTAGAAATAAAGGCAACCAACATGTCATCAACATAGAACAACAAATAGATGTACGCACCTTCTTTCAACTTGCAAAAATACACGTAAGGATCAAACTGGCTCCGAGTGTATGAATGACCAAGCATAAAACCATCAAATCGCCTATACCACTGTCGAAGAGACTGCTTCAAACCGTATAACGATTTCTTTAACCTACAAATTAGGTTTTCCTTCCTTACAGCTCGGAATCCTAATGGTTGAGTCATATATATTTCTTCATTAAGATCATCATGAAGAAATATAATCTTCACATACAACTGATCTAACTCCAATCCATACTGTTCCACCAAAGCTAACAAAATCTGAATCAAAGAATGTTTCACCACCAGAGAGAAAACCTCATTATAATCAATACATTCCTCCTGTGTATAGCCCTTCACAACCAACCTAGCCTTGAACCTCGATAGAGTGCCATTAATGCCCTCCTTCTTCGTGTACTCCCACTTGCAACCAATTGTCTTCCGCTCCTTCGGAAGCTCAACAAGGTCCTATGTATTATTCTTATGAAGAGACTCCATCTCCTCCTGCATAGCCACCTACCACGAATCAGCCTCCAAACTTTGCTCGGTCTCTCTGAATGTAGTAGGCACTAACTCATCGATACTCTTTACTGGAAGTGCATATACAACTAGTGTGTCAGTATACCGTGCTGGCATCCGTATGTCTCTCCTCTATCTCCGAACCGCAATAAAATTCTGAACCAGAACCGTCGGTCCCTGATCCTGCACAACTGTACTCGTATCCTCCTCGTTGTCACCGGGCTCACCTGGCGTCACCTCAGTCGGCACTCTAGTGGATATTGTACTATTTGGATAATGTGAAGCTGCATCGATCTCCACCACCTGTGATATCTCCTCTGTCAGGTCGCTCTCCACCTGATGAGAGCTGGGAAGCTTCAAGATAGAAACATCATCGAACGTGAGGTCTCTACTCAGCACAATCTTTCTATCAACTGGATCTCATAGCTTGTATCCCTTAACACCATACTTGAATCCTACAAATATGACCTTCCTAGCTCGAGGTTCTAACTTATCAGTCTTCACATGATAGTATGCAGGGCACCCAAATACCTTGAGCTGGTCATAATCGTATGCTAGCTCTCCCGACCATATCTCCATAGGGGTTTTCCCCTCAATTGCAGATGAAGGTAACCTGTTAATGAGGTGATTTGTATATGAAAGTGCCTCAGTCCAAAAGATCTTCTCCAAACCACTATGTGCCAACAAACATCAGATCTTCTCCAGTAAAGACCGATTTAACCTCTCTGCCATCCCCATTCTGCTGTGGTGTATGACTAACTGTGAAGTGTCTCTCTATGCCCTTGTCTCGACATAGCTGTTGAAAGGGATCTGATGTGTACTCACTATCGTTATCGGATCGTAACGTCTTGATCTTTCTCTCAGTCTACAGTTCTAACCTCTTCTTCTACTCCACAAATATATTTAGGACTTCACTCTTTTTTGTCATGGTATACACCCAACAACGCCTAGAATAGTTATCAACAAATATGACAAACCAATATCTACCACCAAATGATGCAGTCTTGGTGGGACCCCAAACGTCTGTGTGCACGTAATCTAGGATGCCCCTCGTCCTATGAATGGTTGTCCCGAACTTTACCTTCGTCTTCTTGCCAAGAACACAATACTCACATAACTTAACTTTTTCACTCTTGGCTCCCTTCAATAGCCCCTACTTGCACAGCGCCTGCAGTGACTTCTCTCCTGTGTGCCCCAATTTGTAATGCCAAAGTCTGCTAATGTCCGCCTCTGAAATAGCTAAAGTAACATAGCCAATCATGATTCTCTCCTTCATATAATACAAGTTCTGACTACGGACTTCCTTCATCACCACCAAAGATCCCTTAGTAACATTTTCTACAGCATCCTCAAAGGTCACCTTGAATCCCTTTGCCTCTAAAGCTCCAACTGAGATAAGATTCTTCTTCAACTGAGGAACAAATCTCACCTCCTTCAATTCACGAACTACTTCATCGTGCATCCGGATCCTCACAGTACTTATCCCACAAATACCACATGATTGATTATTTCTCATGACAACAACACCTCCTTCAAGTCTCTCAAATAATAAAAATCAATCTCTCCTAGGAGTCACATGATAAGTAGCGCTAGAATCAAGCATCCAATCTGATGCATCCAAATAGTTCACCTCTGGAGTAATCAATAGAAAAAAACTTGAATCATCAGAATCATCGCCTTTCGTAATATTCACCGCATTGGCCTTCTGGCCCTTCTTCTTGCTATTCTTCTTCTCCTTGATCTTTGGACAATCTTTCTTCCAATGTTCCTGCTCCTTACAGAATACACATTGGTTCTTTCCTAGCTGGTGATGGTCTCTTGACTTTGACCTGCCTCTATTGCCACCTCTCGGATATGGGGCTTCTTTCCCTCGTAGACAAGGTCTCTCCTGAAGTACTAGCGCGAGAAGTCTCTTTATCATTCCTTCTCAAATCATAATTCGTCAAAGCGTTAGTCACTTCACTATAAGTGATAGAAGATCTCCCGTTCAACAATGTAAACACAAAGGTATCATACTCCTCATTTGGTAAGGAGCCTAAAAGAATAATAGCTTTGTACTCATTCGATATCTTCTCATCCACATTAGCCAAGTCCGACAATAACTTTGTGTAGTTATTCACATGAACTGCTAGTGAGGTACCCTTGGAAATCTGAAATCTGAATAACCTGCGCAGTAAGTACAATCTATTCTCAACACTCTTCGTAAGGTACTTATTGTTAAGAATTTCCCACATCTTTATTGCAGACGTCACCCCAATCATATCATATTTCAGCTCCTGTTCTAAACAAGACCTGATCACCCCACAAGTATTCCTATTCATCTTTTTCCATACCGACTCTTCATATTTAGGTGGCCTCTCATGGACCATAATGGTCTCCTCTAAATTCTGAGCATTGAGCGCATCCTGAATATCGCTCATCTACAAACAAAAATTAATATTACTGTCATACTTCACCACACTAATCTTAGTGTTTTGAAACTCAACTTGAACTGTACCCGCCATCTTGCTGCTTTTATCAACTTCTTCACCCATAATCACAAACTCCAAATTGTAAAGAAAGATTCAAACTTTGAAAGGATTGAGGAATTACCCAACTGAACCCTAGATTGGATTCCAAATAGAACTTCTAACCACACGAGTAAAGCGAGATCTTCAACGGCAACTCCAAACCCTATCTCCAGCGAAGCCTAGAACTCCAAGAACCAAGCTTCCATGATGAATCTTCCTCCACCTAATCCAAAAAACCTAGATCTCAAATCTGAGCTCTAATACCAATTGTTGCGCGCCTATGCGGAAGCGTGCTCGCACACCGAACGAATCTGTGATCACGGGAGAAGAGAACCAACCACACACGAGCACAATTCAATCTAAATATGATAAATCAAACCAAACACAGAGATATACGTGGTTCGGCAATTTACCTACATCCACGGGGAGAGGATGGGAAGATTCTACTAAATCAAGGAGAGTACAAAGGGTTACAATATCAAAAAAGCTCACAAATTAACCCTAAACCAAATCTCTCAACTTGCTCATAATTTCTCCCTCTTAATATGCTCAGTACAATCTCTAATCTCTGACCAGAAACCCTAGAAAATCGTGATTCAATTTATATCAAAACGTAAACCCAACGCGAACAGGAAACCAATACTCAGGCCCAGCCCGACTCGCGGTCGACCGCAGAGCCATGTGCGGTCGACCGGACAGAACGACAGAAAGCATAAATCCACTACATGGTCTCGCGGTCGACCGCCGCACCACTCGCGGTCGACCGCGAAAAGTCCAGAGACTTTTCCAGATCTCGTGCACGTTTGCGGTTGACCGCCGCGCCACTCGCGGCCGACCGCTGGAAGTCCAAATCGTTTTTCTGCAGTTTTTCCTGTAAGCTCTTCAAAAGATGATCTGAATTGTTCATTATTAATGAGCCTATATTGTTGTTTCTTGTGATGGAGAAGTAGTTTTGGGAATGTAATCTAGTTAGTGGTATTGCCAGTACAAATAGTTAGCACTCTATCTATTAATATTCAAGTTAATTACTTGCTACGCGTTTACCATATCAAAAATGCATCTGCATTAATTAATAAACCAAATTTTAAGGTCAAAAGCCAGAGGAGCAGCAGAGAGCAGAGAGAGAGAGAGAGAGAGAGAGAGAGAGAAAAGAATGATAAATTGTTGTTTTGATGCTTACTTGCAGGAGTATGCACCAAATCATGACAGGATTGCACTAGACAAAAAAAAGCTGGGAAGTGGATCGAATATTAGATGAGTCCACATCATGCGGCCACCATAGTCTCTCCGATCAATTCTTGAATAAAAACCTACTCCATTTTGTGTGTTTATTTGCGATTTGCGTGTATTGTAAATATATTTTTCTAAATTATTCCTTAGTTTCTTTAATGAAATGGTTTCTTTAATGAAATGGTTGTGGTTGGGGCCAAAAGGAGCTGAACATTTTGTTGTTAGTGGATTTTCAACTCTCTCTTTAAAATAAAAAATAAATCAATAATATGTAAAGAGAATCATCGCAAGATCTTTTGCATAAGCAACATTAGGCAGTGATAATTTTATGTCATCAATAAATTGCCAGTCAAACCGTCTAATAAGTACAAAACATCTCCATGAGAATTCAGATGCTAATAAGTAATAAATGTTCGCAGGTTGGCGTATAGGTTCTGAAGCAGAGATGGTGGAATTTATAAAGTATCCACCTTCTCTATTAAAAAATAATGTGAATAAATCTAATGTAGCTAGGTATTACGGGCTTCTACTGAGTATTTAAGCATGCGAGCATGAATACACTGGCGGATTCAGAAATTTTTTTAAGAAGACGAACAATAAATATTATTTACTTAAAAACAAAAAAATATATAATTATAAATTATAGTATTTGATGGTAATGCTCTCTTGTTTTTTTTTTCTTTTTATTTATTTATTTATTTATTTTGTTGTTGTGGATTCTGGGCTTTTAGCGTTTGGGCCCATTTGACTTCGTCGTGGGATTTTACTTTCCACTTGATAATTCAATTAGCTACTAATTAGTGTTTTACAATAGGTTGGGATGTAAATTTTAAAATTTATAAGGGGGCGAGGTCATAAAATTTACAAGGGCAAGATCATAAAATTTACAAGGTTAACATGCAATTTATAAAATTGTAGGTTTGTAATAAAACTTGTAAAACATACCCCTACACATGTACCTCCATCCACCGTTGAATAAATAGTGATTTTATGGTTTAAAGGGTAAATTTATAAAACTACTATGATTAGTTAGGAGTTATATGTACAACTATCATAAGTTATGTTTTAGAAAAACGCACAATAAAATTTTAAATCAAAAAATAGAAATATCACAGAAGAATACGATTGACGCTTGAAAGTGCACGATAGTTTTTTGGGAAAATTTCAGAAAGCCCGTCTTGACTTGACCTTTTTTCAGATAAACCTTAGCTAATTTAATTCCATAAGATATCATGAACTTTGAGGGGTTTCGCACATAACCATTGCATTTCATCTATTCCACTAAATTTCTTGAATGTTTTTCACTGTAACCTTCAACATAAAAACGTTAAATCTAACATGTCACATGCCACGCTCGTTCATCGTTGGATCAACATACTCCAATTTTCTAAAGTCTATTTTTAAAAAATGCATCGATTATAGTTAGTTTTTTACATAACTAAAGCTTGATAAATTGACAGTACATTGTCAATTATACTATTAAACCTATTTCAATCAATAATAAGAATAAATAAAATAACTTTAAATATCACATCCATAAAATAATTGCAAAAGCACATGAACATTACAAATTCATTTCACGTATCTATTTATCCATGTAAAATTAACTTTATGACATTGGATGATAAATGTAATAAAAGACAATTTCAAAGACTTCAAAGTTTTAGGGGACTAATTGCAAGGTATGAAGATATAAGAGACTAATTTAAATATAAAAGATTTGGGGGATAACTCAAATATGAAAAGAGTTGGGGGAAATTTTTTAAATATGAAAGAGTTTAGGGGTTAGTATGAAAAAGAGAATTTTACATAGGAGTTTTTTTTTTAAAAAGGCCCTTTCTGCTAAATAAATAGCAAAACCGACCATTTTTCTAATTATTTAGTAAAGTGGTCGGTTTTGAAAAATTAGTTCTTCGAAACATATGGGACTAAGTGGCCAGTAATTGGCCACTAATCCTAAGCCAGAAAACCTACGAGACTACTAGTCCCGTGGGTTTATTGAGCACTCCACAAAACGTACAGGACTAGTAGTCTTGCACGTTAAGCAAAAACTCGCCCACCTTGCCCAGCAAATCCACGGGACTAGTAGTCCCGTAGATTTGCTGGGCATACAAAAAACCTGCACAAAACAAGCATAGACCTATTTTACTTCATATATATTGTTTTTTTTACCAAAATTTATGCAAAAATATAGCATTCACTTCATATACATTGTTATATAGTAAAATATTTATAAAAGGTATAAACTTTAAGAAATAAACAATGGATAACAACACATTTAATCAATTCACAACATCACAACACAATAGATACGTCATATACATATCAATACGACAAAATACTCTAAACAAATCTAAATGTATCAAGTCTATCCATACGACAATATATAGTTTAAGTAGAAAAGCTAATAAACTATCACATGCAACCTAAAATTCCGCCCCTCCCCCGTTGTCTCCCTCTTCTTACCTGCTCAGATCACGGCGACCTCCTTCGACTTGAGCTTGTATGTGCTCGCTCTCCGGTTATGTGTGGGGCTATAACGGACCAGCTTTATTGCCGTGCGTGCAAGATCTACCACGTCTTCATCGACGTGCATATACTCTCTCCTCATGCGCCATCAGATCGTGATCTTCATGTCGATCCTCATGAGTTTGATGAAGAGCTCTACGAACCCTCCCCACTATCTGATGCAATACCAATACATGTACTGAATCTCCTGTGGCGGTAGCTATACCCTCATTTGCAATCCACTCTATCTCATCCATAGCGTCTATCTACAATTACATAAAAAAATATAATTTTATATATATACTATATACTATATATATTTATATTATATATATATATATTATATATAATATATATATATATATATATATATATATATATATATATATATATATATATATATATATATATATATATATATATATATAAGTAACCAAAAGCTAACAAGAGATTTAAAAAACTATTCTAATTTGCGCAATTTACTTACCCATTCTCTCTCATCTACACCTCTTGGTATATATCTTGCTTGTTGGGAGCGTATCTCAATTTCGTCGACTTGAGGCATGGTTTGAGTGATTATCCACCATCTAGTAATCCCCCAATACCATCTAATATAATCGACTTCCTCCATCGGAGGATAAAGCTACTCGACAATGCTCCCATGCCGATAATTCTATCTAGCAATGTACGGATGATGCTCAATCCGCCATTCAATCTGATGCCCACCCTTAAACGCCTTTCTCTCTTTTTTTGACATATTGTAGAGTGTGTTGTGTGAAACTAAACTGTCTAAACACGCGATGCGGCACGTGCATCTCCACAATTTCGAAACAAATAAGAGGAACTTTGGCTCTCCATATGTCGTTGTAGACACTAAAAAGTACCAAGAAACGAAGGAGAGTCGAGTCTCACTACAAGTACGACGAGGGTCGTCACAACGATGAACCTCAGCCTCAATTCATGAAGTTTGTCTCAGTTCAATAGGACAAATAACATCTTGCCCATCAAAAGACGAAGTTCACCTAGAAACGAAGTTCGTCATTGAAGATGAAGTTCGCCAAAGATGAAGCCGTAGTTAAACTCACCAAAGATATAGCAAAGTGAACGAACCTCGTCAGGCAGACGAACCTCATCTGGAAAACGAACCTCGTCAGGCACCATTTCAAAGGGCTACATTAAATGAGGGTTATTGACCAATACTCACCCCTTTAATGAGAGTTAATGACCATTAACTTCCTCATTATAAGGGGAGTTAAAGCCCATTAACTCACTCCATAATGGCCCTAAGCCTATAAATATGCATGATCAACATGAAAAGAAAGGAGGAGATTGAGAGGCTAGTCAAAGAGCCTATCTCTCCTCCACTCTCATGGATCTTCATAGATCATTGGCTAATTATTTGGTCTTAGAACGTTGAAGCTCATAACAAGCATGACGAGGGTCATTACAATGATGAACCTCGTCTCAAACAACAAAGCTTATCGTTGGAAACAAGATGTGAAGCTCATCATTAGAAACGAGGTTCGAATCTCATCATTGGAAATGAGACTTGACATCAAAGACAAAGCTGGTTATTGGAAACGAGGTTCGAAGCTCGTCATTGGATACGAGGTTCGGAGTTCATCATCGGAGGTGAAGTTCGTCAATGAAAACAAAGCTTGTCATCAGATTTAAAGCTCGTCAGTGAAGACGAAGCTCATTATTAAAGAAGCTCACGAGGCTTGCCACGCAGCGAGGCTCGACATCAAAGACGAGGCTCGCCACGCAGTGAGGCTCGACGTTCGTCACCCACATTAAATCAGGCTATAATGGCAGCAAAGACCCAGTCAGCCACGTGGGCTAGATTCAAGGAGTCAGTTACGCCATGACTCTACAATTTTAGTGCATCAGTTACGCCCACGACTCCACGATTATAGCATGTCGGTTACGTGCTCAAACTCCTATAAATAGCCTCGAGCACCTATTAGGAGGAGGACTGGACTTTGGCTTTCGATACTCAGACTTGGAGATCTTTGGCTATCGCGAGAAGAGAAATCGACGTTCGTATTCTCGTGTTCTAACCCACGTCAGTAGCTCGTGTGATCTTGTTTTGATCGTCAACGGGAAGCAATCTCGACTCAAGCATCGAGGGAAGCATCCTTTTGCCACCAAGAACCCACGTTAAATAAGGAGAAGCTGAATTAATCTTCTCTTCATCTGTAATCGAGAGAGTGAGTGATTGTAAGGGTTTCGTACCAAGCGATCGAACCCAGTTTTCTTAAAACAAGAGAATCAATCCCAACATCAATTTTTCGACCCTACAGACGATGACGACCACAGTGAGAGAAGTCGTTCTTTCAGACAAACTGGTGGTGGTGCAGTTAGACAAGATTGTCGTGGGGACGAACGTCGAGATCATGGTCATTGAGTTGGACCAGTCCAAGTACGAGGAGTTCCTCTCCTCTGGAACCTCTGGAACCTCTAGTCCCACCAAAGCACGAAGGTGCCGAAAAGTCTCTTATGAGACTTCAGCCCAATGGGCTTTTGATTATTCGACTCGAGTGAACCTCGATGAGAAATCTTTGCCTCTCAAGATTGAGGCTCCGAAAACTAGCCTTCGGGCTGAAAGATGGGTTGTCAAACAACCTAGCCAA